CCTGCCCGCGCGTCCGCGGCTGTGGCGCGCTCCATCTCGGTGCGTGCCGGAGGGTCGGAGCCTGTCCCACTGAATTTGCACCAGGTGGAACGCTCCTGACCTCAGGGAGGCGACTAGACCGACAGAAATATTTTGAAGTGTCTCTCTTCTTTTTTAATTTACAGAATTTAGCACGTACGGCTCAAAAGAGTGGCCGAGGCGTGCTTTAAGTCACCCTTTATTTACTTTATTGGCTTGAACTACAGTTCTTCCTTCTGCCTGGACAAGCAGAGTTAATAATTGATGAAAAATTATCTTCATTTTCTGACGCATGCATGAGCTGGAGTGTGTTTGGAAATGCGTGACCTAGGAGCGCTCGTCTAATTCACACAAATGAAATGCGGAGTTGCTAATTGCCCTGTGCGCGTTCTGTGCTAAGATTAGAATTGCCCTTGGGGGACGAGCGCGTCCGCCCTGCCTGAGGGAGCCTTTTGCCCCTGGCCGGGCCTGGCCTTCAGCCCGTGCGGAAGGAGGGAAGAGAAATGCTGTGCATCCTGCACAGTTTTTGTGTTGTTCTAAGCTTGGTCTGGAGGCACAGACCTCTGCTATCTGCAGTTTACTTACTGAATTCAAGTGAAACTGGAGTCAGACTGAACTCTGCCGAAAATGTTGAAGAGGTCTGTTGTGGCTTTTTTTCCCCCCTGTGGCTCAGCTTTGCTGTATGCAGTACTTCTCTCAAGGATGCTTGTGGCGGTGTGTTCCTCAGATGAAGTATATACTGTTGGGCAAGTGGAGTTACAAGTGGACTGAATTTTCCCTTCGCTTAAAATAACTAAACACGTGGAGTTATTTGTGGTATTTCCTTCTATATCCACTGCAACTGTCAGACCTTATCTTACTGCAACATTCATTTCATGTTAATGTAAGTATTTTGCCGTGATTTCTTTTTGTAGGTTAAAAGATACTTTTTTTTTTTTCCAGCATTCTTCATGTGAATCTGTTGTTCCTAACTGTTCTAGTTGCCCTTCTTTGGACCTTTTGTGTTGCAGAGCTGGTGCCTTTGAGATGAGCAGACTGGGCCTGCCGTTGTCAGTGAAATTATACGAAGCTGTTATAATTTATCCACATTATTCTCTCTTCCCCTTCTTCATTTGCCCCAGTGTTTGATTTGCTCTGTGATGCTGCATGCTGAGCAGATGTCTTCATTGAGCTGTTGATTCAGCTAATTCTTTCCCCTTTGCTGTGTACAAGTAGTTTAAATTATTTCTTCCAATTTGCATTATCTTGCACTGGAAGGTGCGATTTTTCATCTTGAAATATGTAACTTGCTGTACGCCAGGATTAAAAAAACTAGCCTACAGCTGCGACATTGCAAAACCTGCTTTTAAATTTTTCTGGAGTCAATGTCTGCAAAGTCGGCGAGGCTGTTAAATCGGGATGTTCTTGGTGTGTAAAGTTAAAGCGAAGGTGATGCCAGGTGCTTGGTAGGACAGAGGTTAATGAGAACATTGTCTTTGCCTTCCAGCCTGTCCTTTTTTATGTGCCCAGATATGATTTTTTTCTCCTCCC